CTCTAATCTTGTCAGTCAGGTGGACCAGTAACCCCCACTGTGTTTGTTTTGTTGGTTCATTAAATCCAAGACAATCAGATAAAATACGGACATTTTAGAATGGTACCACTTTGGAAGAAAATCTGGTCGTGTTGTCCTTTGCTAATGGAATATTTTCACCTGACTCGTCAATCTTTAGCTCTAATTATATCTCCATGTCACCGCTCCGTGGCTTACCACTACTGCCCCTGTCGATTGAAATGTTTTATTCTGAAGTCTTTGGACTACTTGCCAGAGACTTATAGTACCCATAATTTAAAGAGGGGAAAGAAAAAAAAACTTACAAAGCCTTCATGTCTTAAATGAAACAGCAACAGCCTTGAAACACTATAGAACCTTCAAATCTAACAACTTGAAACTAAATTAGCTAAAGCTTTGATTCACATACAGATGGAGATCAAAACAGGCTGAAATGCTTTAGGCAACATTTATGCTTACAGCCATAATTAGACAACCACTATAATATTGAAAGAAAAATGAATTTTACAAACTAACCAATTGAGCCTTTCAAAAGAAAAAAAATGTCGGCTTATTCCAGCAATTTATTAAGGGGTAATGTTTCAGTTGCAAATAATTTATATCAAATAAGTAAACGCAGTTAAAATTAATTAGCATTACCATAAATAAACATATTGAAGACTATACCAAAATCTGAAATTCACCAAACATTTTTGAATCACATAAAAATTCAGCTAATGGGCCTCCAATTATTACCAACTAAATAGCAAATAAACAAATTTCAGCGTTTTGCCTGTGTCATTAGATTATTTCAAAAGAGCAGATGGCACAACAAACTGATATAGAAACATCTTTTGCCAAATTATCTTCAGGATTCTATCAATCCAACATTTGTAAAATTCAAATCCAAGAAAAGAATCTAGTATTAATAAGTAAATGTGGGGATTGGTTTTTGTTTATCTAGTTTTAGCAAGGACATTTTATGAAGATGTATATTTAAAGCCACAAATAAAATAACTAAAGGGCTTCTGGGTGTATCATTTGACTGTAATAGGCCCTGGTTTTATGTTACTGAGCTCTAAAAATCTGATTAACAAGAAAACACACACATGTTAACAGTAAGTGAAATTAGTCTAGGAAAAAATACTTCTAGGGTAGGTGCTTTATTTACTGAATACTTACTATGTTCACCACTATGCTACAGCAGGTTATTCCCATTTTAAAGATGAGGAAACTGAAGCTCAGTGAATTTTGAACATGGGTCTTGCTGACTCTTTCCCCTATTTCCGACTCCATTAATATGTAGGTTGAAGTGTTTTTTCTTCTCTAACCTATTGGATCAAAAAAGGAGCTGAATATCAATCACCATGTCACAGTCATGTCATGAAATGGGATTTCACCATATTTTAGGTGCCTTGTCACTGGCATTTCCACTCTTTATTCAAGGTTCCTTGTAGTTTTTCTTGACTTCTTTCTACTTGATATCAAAGGGTATTTACCACAAAGGTATGAAACAAAAGTGGTTTAGGAAATGCACTATAACAAACAAAACTCCAACAATATTTAATGGTTATAAAAACTGATAAAGGTAATGGGTCTGAGCAAAAAGCTACATGTTCTAGGAGATTACAAGTATCCACAGAAGATATAAAGAGATTCCTTCCAAATGAGCTCCCTATTTTTATTTACAGATAAAGAATTTAACCTGATAACAAGTCTTACAAACAAAAAAGGTTACTGACTAGTTGAGGGACAGTGTGAATGATGAAGAAAAGAGCTATAATCCTCTCACCTAGTTATTAGTCTAGAGGTGATAACAGGATAGCTATTTACTGCCTTGCCACCTAGAAAAACAGGTTATCAAAGGTTATTACAAGTAAGTCATCATTCGCTCCTCTGAATACAAAGAACTGAGCTGTGTGTCACCTAATACACAGCAGTTTTTCTTTCTTGACAGATGGTCCATACTAAATCAGTCTCTGGACAAAGGTGGTATCAGAGAGCTGATTCTATTCATTCATTAACTCCATCATTCCTTCCCATATCTTTTGAACTAATAGTGTCTTTTTATATTTTTAATGTGACTACTAGAAAATTTAAAATATGTGGCCTGTATTATATCTCCATTGGAGGGCTCTATAAAAAAATTTTTTTAAAAAAGAAATGCTTCTGAGGCGTTAGTAGATTCTAATTACTATCTGTGGAGTCAAAAAATAAAATGAAAAATGACCTTAAATGAATCTGAAAGTCCATCCTTCCAAACTAAGGCAAAATGAATGGGGCATAAGTGCAGGGCCCCCTACCTCCATTCCCTCCCCACCCCACTGTCAGTTCAAAGGAAGGAACCAGGGGCAATATGGGGGAAAAGTAAATATGACAGAAATTAGCCCAGAGACCTTGGGAGCCACAGCTTACCACTAATGCCCCTGCAGAGCTGACCCCAAAAAGTACTAAGGGATGCAGGACTTCCAGGAGAATGGTCTCTGTCTCTGCCTCTGTCTCTGTCTCTCTCTCTCTATATATATATATATGTTTTAAAACACATGTAAAGTGGTGAAAAACCCAGTATTTATGAAAGTAAAGCATCAGTGAAGAATGTAAGGCCTGGAGAAGCCGGTGAAGAAATGAGGATTCACCCCATTGGACCAGAAAGGCCTTCTAGCCCCTCCCACTGCCCCCAGTTTCCAGCCTTGTCTGGGAAGTTCCCTGTCTTCTTTGCCGCCCGCGGGGAACCACCAGTCTCCCACTGGGGACCAAAGGGTCTCAAAGTTAGCCTGATGCTCAGCTGATAACTTGGCTGAGTGGTGCTGGGGGATCATTTCCCTTTGGTTCTTTGGCGTCTCTTTCAGGCTCTGAAATTCCCTCTCAGATCAGCCGTAGGGACTAACCTGGGGCACCCTCTTCACCCTTACCTTATTCCAGCCTCGAAGTTCATTCCTCCTGTTTTCAGACCCCCTTCTTCACGACTCAGATCATATTCTATGTGGTTTAAGTAACTCAAAAGAAAAACACTTAAGAAATTTATCTAGTCATTTGATCATGTAAGAAGACAAAGTTGAGAGTAGATTTATTACAAGACTTTATCAAGGGACAGGATTACTTCTCTCTACACTCAAGGAAATTAAATATTGTAGCAGGAAAATTATTTTTAAACAACATCCATTATTCCACAGTAATTAACAATAAGAAACTGGTCCAACAAATAGGAATGGTTAAATAAATTGTGATAAATTCACATAGTGGAGTTACTCTATAACTATTAAAAATCATGCTTTTGAAGACTAATGAAAAAGGAAATGCACACAATGAAATTTAATAAAGACACATAACTATTTACAATAAGATCTGACTATACAAAATATACATACACTATGTTAACAGTGGCTACCTCAAGGTGGTGAAATTACAGGTAATATTTTTTCTTTACATATAGTTTCTGTGATTTTAAATTTTTTACAATGAGCATATATTACTATTATAATCAGAAAAATATACACATAAAATAAACTATTATTCCCTAGTTTGTGATTTTAACAGTAAGTCTGATTTTTAAAAGAGTACCACCAAAAAGCTTATCTTTCATGGAAAAAAATCATATCACCTCTAAAGATGATATATAATACAGTACAGTTTTTTAAAATTCACTAGAACCCTGTGTCAGCAAGATTAGTTATGCCAGATATGATATTGGTTTATCTTGCTTGATATCATTTTGGCTTATCTATAAAATCATCCTCAACTCCAGTGTAATAGACTTCCCTGTTTGAAAATCAGCAAGATTTATTTAAGGGGCATTAAAGGATAAGACCCAATTAGCCCTTTCTAAAAATCAGTAGCCAGTTTCAGTATAAAAGTTCAAAGCAAAACTCATGTTAAGCTAGCTCCACAGAAGTAGCAGCAAAAAATATAAAATGGACCTCAGCAATTATAGAAACAAAGCTTCCAGTGTTATTAGACCAAATGCTTTTGAACCTATTAAGAATTTTTAAAACTCAATTCAAAGAAATTATGGCACATTCTAAAGAACAGAAAGTGGAGTCACTCCTCATAAAATGAGTTATTGTTTCGTTCTTATTCTTTCAGAAAAGGTCACCTCATTCATTCCAAGGTCTGCTCTAAATAAAAGAGTTTGTAATCAAATTAATTGCAATGCTGCTCATAACAAGGACTTTTTCCTCCTTTCTGTCCCCTCCAACCACTGCGCTATAATGCATTTCACAGTCGGTTTACGCTTTCTTAAGGGCCCAATATTGCATAATTCATGCTTATTTTTCTGAACACATTTAGTAAAAGTCCCCTATGTGCAGGCCCTCAATAGTGACACAAATCCCTCAAGGGCTTGGGGCTTAGAGAGTGTCTCAAAATACAAAGAAATATATTTTATACTTATATAAGATACAGAATTCTGTAATTTGCTCTGCTAAGCATATCATTAAAAAGATATATAAATTAATATTAACAGTATTTGATAGAAACCTTGCTTTTAAAAGGAACATTCCAACCTAGGGCCCGTTGTCATCTATTCTATATTCTGCCATCTTCTTTTTCAAGGGAAACTTGGTTCCACAAAGACCATCAGGCATATCATGGCAGTTCAGAATGGTTATTCAGGACTTAACATTTGATTCCAATACTTGCAATTATGATTTCAAGGCAAACATTACACACAGGAATGCGCACAGATAAAAATATTCTTAATCTTGATGTATACAGAAATGTTACGAGATGGTTCCCATTCTTCATGCTTTGTTATAGAATGTGTGCAGAAACGATGGCCCTTATCAATCTTTTTTAACATACCTCCCCCGGAAACAGAACAAATTCAGGCACTATTCACATTATTCAATATTTTACAATCACGCTCATTTCAAAACCTATCACATGCCATGAAAAGGTTTTCTAGAAGTCAGATATATAAAATCTACAGTTCACAACACTGAGAAGTGCAAATGTTAACAGCTGATGTGTGTGTATAATTATTTCAAATAAGAAAAATATCAAGACTATTTGTAACCTCTTCTGCCTTTCTTAGAGTAGTAAAAAATCAGAGAAAGAGAAATAACAAAGGCAAAAAGTAGAAAAGCTATGAAAGCCAGGAGAGACTTTCGGGTATGAAGAAAGCTGCACTCTGCACACAGGGTGAGTTCTTCTGGACAAAATCTTCCCAGAGTTTCAGGCCCTGGAAAGCCATTGTTGTCTATAATTTTCCTGTAATATTTCACGGACGGTTTGGGCTCAAACTGATTTGCCGCATAACGATAGAGGCCAAACTTCGGAGCTGTGCGATCGTTAAATGAATAAGCAAAGTATCCACAAAGATTGATACCATCCAATATATAGGCTGGAAAAACAAAAGGACATGAGAAAAGTTATTAAAATATTTTGCCCACAACATTTTGCCTTTACCGAGCCCTGGTGCATCAGAGAAATTGTCAATACCATTTCAAACAACTTCTGATTAAATTAGACTTCATCAGTAAAGCTCCTTTTATCGGAAGACAAAGTGGCAACCACCAAGACAAATACTTAGCTACATTTAAGATAGTAGGTTTTACATACTTTAAACCTACTTTGATGCACTTGGGTTCAATCTTTAAGTGCATGAAGTAGGCAAGACTGCTATGAAGCCATCTGATGTGGAGAAGAGATGGTCCGGGCTCTTAGCCACCTAGAATAGTTTTGAGGAATTTTTTTCATCTTCCACTTTTAGTCAAACTCCTCTTTCCTCGGGGAAACTAGCTAGGACTTGGACTTTTTCAGTGTTATCAAGGAATGGCTAGCACTTGCTCTGTGGGTGACAGTCTGTGTATATGTTTGAGAGTTTCTATGGATCAGGTTCTCAGGTGGCGTAAACCCCAAGAGACCTCCGTACCGGGGGCGCCTTACCTTTCAGAGCTTCGTTCACATAATTCCGCATGTAATACACCCTCAGGCTGTCCTGGGCTGCGTGCGGATCATCGTCGATGCCGTTGGATGTGATATACATGGGGAGGTCTCCGTACTTGGCCTTCAGCCAGGTGAGGACCTTGCGTAAGCCCCAGGGCACCACGGCCACCTGCCCAGGGGAGTTGAGCCAGGTGATGTCGGTCATTTCTTGCACGGCCAGGTAATCGTTGTATTTTATGGGATCTTCTTTCTCCCAGTCTACAAGGATGGTGGTGTAATGGCTCAACGCCAAAAAGTCAAAGGAACCCCGGATTAGCTTTTTTTCCTCATCAGTGAAATAAGGGAGGAGGAAATTGTTTCTCTGGTTCAGCCAGTCTCTCATCACGCGTGGATAATCGCCAGAGCCGAAAATGGGCTCGGCCAGCCAGCCGATGTCAAATTCCAGAACTCGCTCGGCCACTTCGCGGTCCTCCAGGGAGAAAGGGCAGGCGGGTTCTATCCAGTCCGCCTGCAGGGCGATGGATATTTTTCCTTTCTGTGAGCGCCTGAACCTCTCATCGTAGGTGCGCCAGGCCAGCGCGTGCGCCTTCAGGAGGTTGTGCCCCGCGCTGTAGGTCATGTTCCGCGTGGACGGTTCGTGCATCGTGATCCAGAACTTGACGTGGCGGCCGAGATCTTGGAAGCACAGGCTGGCGTAGTCGGCAAAGGCCAGGGCGGTGTGGGGGTTCTCCCAGGCGCCCTGCCGGGCCAGGGGGGCCGGCAGTCCCTGGTGGGGGGCGGCCGGGCGCCAAAGCGCCACCACTGGGGTGATGTTGGCGCGCACCAGCTCGCTGGCCACACAGCGGTAGAACCGCAGGACCGTGAGGTTGACCTGGGACCGGTTCCCCAGCGGCAGGATCAGCGCCCAGTCCAGCGAGAAGTGGAAGTGCGTCACGTGCATTTCCTGGAGTAAGGCGATCTGGGGTCGGATGGCGGCGAAGTCCACGCAGTAGGATTTCCTCGTCTTGGTCACAGCCCCGTCCACCTTGATGAGCCTCTTGCTGTGGTGCACGTCCCACAGGTAGACGTTGGGGTCGGTGAACTGAGACAGGGTGGTGTCCACCTGTCAGGAGGAGAGGAAGCGTTAGCCTCACCTGGACCGTCCTGGAAAGTCATCCAGCGCGGTTCTGGTTCTGTCAACAAAGCCAGCCAGCATGGTGGGCAAAAATACTGTAGAAACCTTCCTAGCTGAATTTTTAAACTGTTTTTCATAAATAGTTAAGTTCCTGGGGAAGAAAATATTCCACTTTGCTCGGTGCACATTTGTTTCACCCACAGTTCTCTGTAAGCCTGGAACTGTTACTTTAAGAAATCTGAATTTTGGAGGTCACTTCAGATAGCAAGCATTAATAATCCTCACACATCTCTGGTCTGTGTTAAGCAAGCAGAGTATTTTGGACATTTTTCTTTTAGAATAAGAAATCGCCAATGATATGAGACTTTCAAATTAAAAAAAAAAAAGACCAAAAAAATGATAAAGCTTAAAACCTGAGTGAGAGTCAGAAAATGAAATGATACTTAAAATTAAATTGTGTTTCTTAAAATCACATTCTAAATGGAGGTTTGCTAAAGGTCACGGACATGGGAAGTATGCAAAACTATTGCCTTTTATTGGCATTAGTGTCCATAACAGAATTTAGCAAATTCACTCTGACTGACGGTAGAAAAAGACAGAGAATGTGGGAATGATACTGTCATCCACATATAATGGGATATTTTAACATCGCTTTTAAAAATTTCTAAATTATTTTTCTGTGATGATCATGAGAATGATGATTCTCAATCTCTGATCTGTAAGACTACAAAATGAAAATAAGTATTTAGGAAACCTGGACAAACTGCAAAATCAAAATCACAAAATCCTCCCTCCACTTGCAAATAAAACTTTTAAGTTTATCCCAAGGTGTGTGTGTGTGAAAGTCGCTCAGTCATGTCTGACTCTTTGCGACCCCATGGACTATATAGTCCATGGAATTCTCCAGGCCAGAATACTGGAGTGCGTAGCCTTTCCTTTCTCCAGGGGATCTTCCCAACCCAGGGATCGAACCCAGGTCTCCTGCATTGCAGGTGGATTCTTTACCAGTTTAGCCACAAGGGAAGCCCAAGAACACTTGAGTGGGTAGCCTACTCCTTCTCCAGGGGATCTTCCCAACCCAGGAATCGAACCAGGGTCTCCTGCATTGCAGGCAGACTCTACCAACTGAGCTATCAGGGAAGCTCTTATTCCCAAGGACCCATCACCTAAGCCAGTTTTCTCCTCAGAAATAATCCTGTCAGAGTTGGTTCCTGGGTTTGACCCTCTGTATAAAAGCAAAGGTCAAACTCTGGTTTTGAATCTCTAGCAGAGGTTTCCTTGCACTTTTCAGGCCTGTTGCAAGTAAGCTTCTGTTTCTCTATCAGCATCAGTGCTGTGTTTACAAAGGAAAGTAATAAAATATAGCATGTCAGAGGGAAATTGCTTTTTCTGGAGAATTGTCCCGTGTAGATCACCCACGCATACATTTCCTCTAATTTGTGGGAATGCTGTCAGAAGTATTTTTCCACTGTGATGCACCCACAAATCATGTTTCCTCAGCTTCGCAAGAAAAATATTTGCATGCTCTTTGGAAGTGAAACTGTTCATAGCTTGAAGGAATTCTCTGGATTATTTTTATAGAGCTCTGAGTTGACAAAATTCATAACTTTTCTACCATAACAGTTCCAAAACAATAGCTCTTATTCAGTCCATCTGAAAACAAATGTGAGAGACAAAGGTGTAATTTCTGAGCAAAAAGTCTATTTCTCAAAAATACAGGTCATTTATAAATGGGTGTTTAGGCAAAATTCTATAGAATCTCCATTAATTTGTTTGACTTATTTATTAATAAAAAATAATTAAGTCAAACCTTTCAGAAGGGTATGATGTTATGTGTTTATATATTATGGAAGAAATGTCTCCCTAACAGTAGCCAATGTTAAAAAAAAGCTGTCCGTCCCCAGTACATAGCAGATTCTGTATTTACTATGAACATTAGTGATTATGGAAAAACAAACCTCTCAGCTGGGAAATTAGGTCCAAGGACAATGATAATCCATGTGAATAAGCCTAAGATCAGACTTCAGACAGGTCTGTCATCTCAGACAGATGAGATAGAACTTAAAATTTTTTTCAGGTGAAATGCATGCCTCATTCATATTAGGAATTCTTGAAATACTAGCCAGAAGTGAAAAGATAAATTCCAATGGTTTAAAATTCACTTTTCAGAACTCTAATACAATGCATTAAAAGTATAGAGACCCAGTTGTAAATTAAAACTTATCCATACACTTATCAGAACTTCCCTAAAAAAAAACTCATTTTTGCTTTGTCAATTAGGAAGTTAGCTTGGAAAGCACACTGCCAAAACAGTACAAAGCTCAAGGTGAAAAGCACAGAGAATAAAATAGCAACCGCAGCCTTTTTCCACTAGAGAGCTCCTGGAGGAGTTCACGGTCACGGCGGTTTGTGTCTGGCTGGGTCAGCGAAGGAGATGACTGTGCGGCTCTGCGAGGTGGAGGCAGCCATGACCCTGGCTGGCACTGGATCAACGTCTAAACAACTGCTCCTAGGAAGCAGAAAAATGAATTCTCTCCTCATCTCCCTTCCTCTTTGCTGCCATACTTGTTGCATCTGATCAGTTTTCTTCTCTCTGGAGGAAACAGGCTGTATTCTTAAAATGTTCTCACCGCTGACCAGTTCCCAAGACAAACACAATCCCTGGATGGGGAACAGAGCAGAAGTAAAAGACCTCCCCACAACATCCCCGCTGCTCCCCGAGTTACACCGCCCGCACAGAAACACTGGCGGAGCCTTCTCCTCACGAAGGATGAAGCTGGGAATTATCAGCCCTGGCTGGGCTGCTGTTGGAGATAGGACCGAGCACAAGCCCTAGGGTGGCCCAGGACCCAGCAGGAAGCAGGGCTCAGCAGAAGGTCGAGAGGCAGAACAGGGATGCGGGACCAACCAGGATGGACTGCGGGATCGCCTTCCTCCTCTCTCTTCCATCACTAGCACCTCTTCTGTCCCTTCAGATCCTACTTGAACCCCACCATGGATCCCACTTGCAGGAGAGAAGTTAGAATGGGGAGTTTCTAAATAGCAGTGGGCTAGCTTTATTGACTATGCCAAGGCCTTTGACTGTGTGGATCACAATAAACAGTGGAAAATTCTGAAAGAGATGGGCATACCAGACCACCTGACCTGCCTCTTAAGATAACCTGTGTGCAGGTCAAGAAGCAACAGTTAGAACCAGACATGGAACAACAGACTGGTTCCAAATAGGAAAAGGAGTATGTCAAGGCTGTATATTGTCACCCTGCTTATTTAACCTACATGCAGAGTACATCATGAGAAATGCTGGGCTGGAAGAAGCACAAGCTGGAATCAAGATTGCCAGGAGAAATATCAATAACCTCAGATATGCAGATGACACAACCCTTATGGCAGAAAGTGAAGAGGAACTAAAAAGCCTCTTGATGAAAGTGAAAGAGGAGAGTGAAAAAGTTGGCTTAAAATTCAACATTCAGAAAACTAAGATCCTGGCATCCGGTCCCATCACTTCATGGGAAATAGATGGGGAAACAGTGGAAACAGTGTCAGACTTTATTTTTCTGGGCTCCAAAATCACTGAAGATGGTGATTGTAGCCATGAAATTAAAAGACACTTACTCCCTGGAAGAAAAGTTATGACCAACCTAGACAGCATATTAAAAAGCATAGACATTACTTTGCCAACAACAAAGGTCCATCTAGTCAAGGCTATGGTTTTTCCAGTGGTCATGTATGGATGAGAGAGTTGGACTGTGAAGAAAGCTGAGCGCCAAAAAATTGATGCTTTTGAACTGTGGTGTTGGAGAAGACTCTTGAGAGTCCCTTGGACTGCAAGGAGATCCAACCAGTCCATCCTAAAGGAGATCAGTCCTGGGTGTTCATTGGAAGGACTGATGCTGAAGCGGAAACTCCAGTACTTTGGCCACCTCATGCAAAGAGCTGACTCACTGGAAAAGACCCTGATGCTGGGAAGGATTGGGGGCAGGAGGAGAAGGAGACGACAGAGGATGAGATGGTTGGATGGCATTACTGTCTCGATGGACATGAGTTTGAGTAAACTCCGGGAGTTTGTGATGGACAGGGAGGCCTGGCGTGCTGCGATTCATGGGGTCACAAAGAGTCGGACATGACTGAGCGACTACTGAACTGAACTGAGGGAGATGGAGGAGTGAGGAAAACCCCAAACAGAACCAGGTAGAGCTATGAAGACAAGCTACTGGACTCAGATATCCTTGAGAACATAGTGTTCTTGGTTGCCTTTGAAATGTAAGGTAGGGGGACTTCCCTGGCCGTCTAGTGGTTAAGACTTCGCCTTCCAATATGAGGGGTGGCGCTTGATATCTGGTCAGGGAGCTAAGATACCACATGTCTCATGGCCAAAATAGCCAAAACATAAAACAGAAGCAATATTGTAACAAATTCATTTAAGACTTTTAAAATGCTTCATTTTTTTAAAATCTTAAACAATCATAAGGAAGGGATTATGATGGTTGGATGGCATCATCAACTCAAAGGAAATGAGTTTGAGCAAACTCTGAAAGATAGTGAAGGACAGGGAAGCTTGGCATGCTGCAATCCATGGGGTCACAGAGTCAGACATGATTTAGCTACTGAACAACAACAACAAAGGAAGGGATTAAAGTCAAGATTGTCCTTAAAACTAACTGGAGGTCTGAATAAGATGTAAGCATAATATGACTCAGTGGTGGGGGGGGGGTGGAATATAAAGGATCGTGTTGATTTATTTCCTAATGAATCAAAGATTTCAACTAGATATTTACCAGGAAACAGCAACTCATCTCAACTAGAATGCCTTTCCCCAGATCCAAGCACTCTCTCCAAATACCTCTTTTGAACCAAAAAGTAACAGAATATGATGCCCCAAAATACGACTGTAGAAGTCAAGGCATGCCACCCCTAAAATGCCCCTTCAGTATATTATTTTGAGCTTCAGGCACTTGAAAAAATAGCAAATCCAAGGGAAAGGCTTTCTCTGAATTCCCCTTATCTTCCTATAGATGAATCTTCCAAAAGAAACTCAAAAGGACTGTCATAAATCCCCTTATGGGAGTTTTGCCAATGAGGGAAGGCTGACTGTTATCACAGAGGAGAGCATTCGAAGTCAACATCACATTCAGGCAAATTTTGTCACAAGCTATCAGAGCTCTCATGTCTTCTTTTAAGGGCCTATTCATCTTTCCTAAAAATCACTTACTTTTCCCCTTTTCCAATTAAGATGCTATTTAAGCCTGAAATTTTAAGCCACCTTGGTGAGTTACTCATTCTTCTCAGGGTATCTCCCATATATACATGAGGTATACATACTAATAAACTTCTGTTTGTTTTTCTCATGTGAATCTATCTCTTACTACTGGGGTCTCAGTTAAACACTCATAAGGGTACAGGGGAAGTTATTTTTCCTCCCCTGCAAAACCAACAAGTTGTCTAGAAGCACCCAACATGCTAAAAACGCTCTGTCTGTCTGTGGCCACCAAACTTCGTTTCTATCTTGGTCTCTATTTTCACACACAGACTCTGTTCAGCAACACCTCCATCCCCTATCACCCTGCTCACTTGCCACCATGCTCTGTTCACACTCTTATACTATTTGTGACCCATCATTTCCCCTCAATAGACTCCTCTGAAAGCAGGAATCATATCTTACTCATCTCACTGTGTACTCCCCTCAACTGAGCCCTCTTCCCTCCAACAGTTAACAATATACACACGAAGCTCCCAATAAGTGCTCACTAAAGTATTTAATCAAACCCTAGAAAACAGATGCTTTTGAAGCTGGAAAAATGAAGAAAGATTTTGAGGGCTAACTGCATATAGGATGCTCAATAAATATTTGGGTGACCATTTTGAAGAACTTCCTTACCATTTCAATTTGAAAACTGTTGTTAGAAATGGCATTCTGACCAGTGCATCACTGAGCAAGGGCTCTCATTCCAGAGATATTTCCACAATCTTGGGGGTTCCACAGTTATGGTCAGAGGGCTCTGCCTAATGTCCCCGCCTCCATCTCAGCAGCTCCAGTGAGATCTCAGATAGTGTGGAATTCTGTATTCTTGTTTATGGAAGAACTCAACAACCACTTTAAAAGGGATTGAAAACCACGGTATTAAAAGAGAGTGTTTTATCTTTTACTATCTTATCAGATCTTAAAGATGGATATATTTTAAATCTGTTCCCTTTCGGAGCTGATTTAAAGTACAAGATGAAGCCAGGAAGATTTTTGGAGAGAGGTGTGCAGCGTTCCACATGATGCCTCCGTGCACTCACTACGGAACCATGTTTGGCCTGAGGAATGGACCACGTGCCATGACAACCTAATAAGGAAGCACTACTTACTAGAGATAGGGCTGGTGAGACTGCGGACTGATTTTGTCAGCTGACTTACTTGAATGCAGTTGTCAACAACTCCCCAAGCAAAGTCACAGGGAAATGTCCCTTCTAGGGGTTGGTTTTCAGGTAAAGGAGGGAAGCCATTGTTCTCTATCAGCTTTTGGTAGAACAAGGCTGAAGACTTCGGCAACAACTTCTTGTCCTGGCTTAGAAAGTCGACGTAGAAGAGTCCACGTCTGATGCTGTAGCCCCGGTGCCACTCGAAGCCGTCCATGAGTGACCAGGCCGTGTACCCAATGACATCCACCCCGTCCAGCCTGATGGCTGCAAAGGAAAGAGGACAAGAGCATCGTGACCCTGTGATGGGCACCTGCCACATGATTCAAGAGCATTTGAGGATTTTACTATTTCAGGAAATAAATTAAGTATAATGTTTATTGTTTGGTAAACTGATGACCTTTCTCACTGATGAAAGGCTCTGATAGGACCTATTGCATGCATGCTCAGTCATGTTCCGCTCTTTGCAACCCCCATGGGCTATAGTCCGCCAGGCTCCTCTGTCCATGGGATTTCCCAGGCAAGAATACTAGCCTGGGTTGCTATTTCCTACTCCAGGGGATCTTCCTGACCCAGGGATCAAACACATGGCTCCTGCGTCGGCAGACAGATTCTTTACCACTGTGCCACCTGGGAAGCCAATAGAACCTAGAGAACTCTGCAAATGTCCTAAAAAATAGGCTTATCTCCAAAAATTTTTATTTGGATTTCCCTTCTTTCTAATGGGCGCTCTTTGGGCCAAGGCGTCTTATTCTACTTTTCTATCCTAAGTACCTACCTTTGTGCTTGATGCAGTAAGTGAATTAAGTCTTTAAAGACATGAACTACTTACTCTTTGCCAGAAAGTACTGACATTCCTTTTTTTAAAAAAAAACAAATACAAAGTGTTTTATTCAGTACAAGCAATCTAAGCCAGAAAAATGTGTACAGGGATCTAGATATCTTGGGATTTACTTAATCTTTAATATAATGTAAAAATCTAGAGTAGTAACTCTGAAAGTCAACTAATTTCAAACATTATAACCTTTATAATTATATGAACATTATAACATTTCTCATTTATGAAATGAACTTAAAAAATTAAGCTCCTCAAGTCCCCAGATGAGAAAGGTGCTATATAAATGCATTCCTACTATTGCCAAAATGAATTTCTACATTCTGATTAAAAACTATAAATTCACACAGTTTATTACGATCATCTTAAGGATTGTTTTTCCAGTGGATTTTGAGAGGAAATTAGGATTTTATCTTCAAGCCTACCTTTTAAGGTTTCCATTATGAATTTTTTGAGGTAATACATATATTTGGCATCATCTCTCTTGGTGGTCCCTGAAACAAACCAGCCACTCTCCACAATAAATATTTGAGGGTGGTTATATTCAAGGTCAATCCAGGAAAGGAGTTGCCTCAGGCTGGGAGATTCCAGTTGGCGGAATTTCATCTGAGGGTCCAACAGTTGAAAACTCAAGGTTGGGCCAAAGGAAAGAGCAAAAAAGTCGGCTGTTCCCTTGATGAACTTTTTCTCAGATTCAGTAAAATCAGGCAGAAGAGATGAAAGGTTATTCTTCATGCTTTCAGGATAGTCTCCATCAATAAATATGGGTTTGGCAAACCAGCCCAGGACAAAGTCAAGAGATTTTTGACATTCTTTGATGCTGTGTTCAGTCATTCTTCGAGGACTGATCCAGTGGGAGCTTAGGGCAATGGACACCTGGCCTCCCTGAGTGGGGCGGAAAGAAGTATCGTAGAGATGCCAGATTTTGGCATGAGCCTATAAAGAGAAAAATCATGGTGAATTTATCTCCGATTGTGAGCAGAAAAACAACACATATTTGAAAGTCCAGTTCTAGTCCTGTTTCTCATGGAGTCTAACTAATGACTAATCCCTCAATGTAAAAGTCACCTGAAACCAATAAAGAATTCTAGCGGTGAGTCAGGCCACAGTGAGCTGCTCCCATAACTGGAATCATTGTCATGGTTTTCAGAAGCCCATGGAAAAAATATGAGTTTCTAGTATTGAATGTGTTGTTATTATTCGTACTTTGAAAAGTTAATGGAATAAGAACTTGTAATATCTTACTACTTAACTGACTGGATTATGTACTTTTTAATTAATAGGTTTCATGAAAAGAACCCAATTCCACATCTGTGATTACATCAGGAATTTCTAAATAGGATTATATTTTTTTTTATCCTAAGAGACAGGGAGTTTTCAAGTTGACACAAGTTGTTGGAGTCAATTTAATATTTTGTATTCATCTCTCATAACAAAATTCTAACACGTGTTCTCACAATCTTTGTTCTTCTCTTTAAGAAGAATCAGTGCATTAAATTAAAGAACCAACTCCAATATCTAACCTTGGCCCGCTCTCCAGAACTCTGGGACACTGCTGGCTTATTGACAACCCTTGCAGAGTACAAGACACAAGCCAAAATCAGAAAACACTTAATTGCAGCTTCAAGGAAATCAGATGTCCACAGTCAGCACTCAGCTGGGAGTTTCCTAAAGCAGTGAAATGGGCTTTGCTTCCATAAGATCAGCTGAAGACTCCCATAAGATCCTGCTGACTTCTGATATCTTATTTTCATTTGTTTCCTTTCTGTTTACAAAGAATAGTGTTTTTTTCCTTCCTTAAGTTTCTCTTACTTTTGAATTCCTGATCTGCTCCCCCTGTTTGTATCTAAATACAAGAACTATTTATCAGCCTTTTGCTCCCCTAACATATTCTCTTAGAAAACCCCATTCTAATTCTGTTTGATTCACATTCTCCCAATGATCTTGCCAATTTTCATTCCACTCCCTGGCCCTGAAGAAGCTCTTGCACTCATATGCCAAATATCCTCTTCCTTGTCCTTTAATATTTTTCTCTTGGTTCATTTCAGTGCAAGTGTCCAAGAATGGCCTTATCCTCATTCTTATGGGTTCAGCCAAACATTTCAATGGAATAAAATAATGCATTCTTTCATTTTTATTTTCTTAGTAAATACCTGCTATTCTTCATTTAATGAAATATATTTTATTTATGACCTGAGGCAGCTATCTATATGCTAAGAAGAAAAAAGAGAATAAAATATTGATCAGAAGAATAATGGCCTTTGCCCATGTGATTCAAAGAACTAGGATTTGATTGTACTATGCTGCTGGATTTGTGAGGTGTCCCACCCATCTCTGTCTTCCTCACCTCTATCATCCTAGCTCACCCTTCCCAGCTAAGAAGAAATCTCATCAGTTAAAAGAGTTAAACAGAACAGAAGGGGAGAAATTCAGGCTACAGTAGGCAGAATGTTAGACTAGAAGACTTTCCTAATTTGGCTGGTATGAATCCTACAGAGAGTCATCTAAACCTAACAGACATACCTCCACAGAACAAGTGCTGTGATGGGGAAAGTTAGAAGGCCAGGGAGAAGTGTGAGTAGCCAAGAATTTCCCAATCTGGGTCCATTCAGCAGGTAGCTGAGTCAGAGCCATACAGTAGAACATCTACAATCACATACCACTCTTCTAACCTTGAGTGCTTTGACATGGCTCAGAGGAGGTTTAGCAAGGAAACAAATGACCTTGGCTATAGGAAAGTGCATATGTGGTATTTGATGGCAGATAAAATTCCTGTGCCACCACTTTCTGTGTGTGCCTTTGACCATATGCCTTAACTTGAGTAGGTAAGACTAACTTTCATGTGTCTCTCATAGGCTATGCATGCATGCTAAGTCGCTTCAGTCATGTCCAACTCTGTGCAACCCCAGAGATGGCAGTCCACCAGGCTCCTCTGTCCCTGGGATCCTCCAGGCAAGAATACTGGAGTGGGTTGCCATTTCCTTCTCCACTCATAGGCTATAATGAGGATTAAATGAAATACTTCATGTAAAACACCTAATAGAATTTCCATACGGTAGGGTCTCCATGAATGCTTATTCTTTCTTTCCCTAAAGGATCAACAGAACAAAAAGAAAAACACATTAAGGCAAAGGAAAGTCCACCTGCTAAGGAATTCAGCCCATAGCAGTGACATGATATGACCTGTAGTCTGGGTTAGAAGACTCTTAGGTTGGGCTCCCAAATCCTCTTCCCATTATCAGTATGAGCCTCAGGTATTTTTTTCTTTTTTGTTTTTTAATTAATTAATGTATTTTAATTGGAGGCTAATTACTTTACAATATTGTAGTGGTTTTTGCTAAACATTGACATGAATCAGCCATGGGTGTACATGTGTCCCCCATCCTGAACCCCCCCACCTCCCTTCCCTTCCCATCCCTCGGGGTCATCCCAGCGTGCCAGCCCGGAGCGCCCTGTCTCATGCTTCTTTGTACAAGTGGGAATAGCATGTGTTCTCCTGCAGAAATGTGGCAAGGATTAAATTATATGATACAATTCAAAGTGTTTTTCTAGTGGTCAATTATCTTAGAAAAGTGTAGTATAAATTTGTAGCATTGGAAAGTGTGATGATTAGTTTTATGTGTTGATTGACTGGGCTAAGGGACCCAACCAGAGTGCTGGTAAAATATGTGTCAAGAGTTTAACTAAGCTACTTCTTGGTGTTCTGCCTTGGCATCCCTTTTGTTGAACCTTGTGTCCTGCAGGTACCTTGTGTCCACTAGCCCCATCAAGGTAGCACATGCCCTGGATAACAGCCCACAGTCACAAATTACTATGAGTTCCTAATATGACTTCCCCACCAGCCCTTGTGATCAACAGTTCTCCCCTGTCTCCCACCACCTACATGCCTTATGCACCCCTGAGGTGAGACTCCCCTGGGGCTTACCAAAAGCCCGCTTTTGATTTGAATTGACCCATCTGGCCCAGGAACACCAAAGCACTCACACGTGGACCCTCTTAAAGGCATGTGTCCAGGGTCCTGTCTCTCTCTCTTTCTCTCTGTCATCCTGTGTGGTCCCTCAAGGGGTCCACGTACTTCCTCCAGGACCTGTCAGTGACAGACATCTCTATTTCAATTTCTCTTTTGATCTATTATTAAACCAAGGCTCAGCTTAGGCACCCTGTGTTCCACTTGAAAAATTAGGTTCTGTTTAGGTCATGGGTTCATCTCAATGAAGATGCCTGGTTGGCAGCTGGGTAAATAAGTCTGAAGTTGGAGAAAACATGGGTGATATTAATCACTCAAATGTACTTCAGAGGTAATACTGAATGGGTCACTTTTAAAAATCATTCTTTAAATTTTAAAAAATTGAAATGGAATAATTCTTAAAGGATTAATTTAATCCTACAAATAATCTTAATTAAATGGACTGAGACCAATGGTGAAATAACTGAAATGCAGGCCATAAGCAGAAAATCATTCAGTTCAGTTGCTCAGTCATGTCCAACTCTTTGTGACCCCATGAACTGCAGCATGCCAGGCCTCCCTGTCCATCACCAACTCCCAGAGTTTACTCAAACTCATATCCATTGAGTTGGTGATGTCATCCAACCATCTCATTCTCTGTCATCCCCTTCTCCTGGCTTCAGTCTTTCCCAGAATCAGGGGTCTTTTCAAGTGAGTCAGTTCTTCGCATCAGGTGGCCAAAGTAAATCATTCTGATGGCTAATTTGTGTCCACTCCCTACCCAGGAAGAGCCCTTAAGATCTTGTTTTGGTTCTAAAATAAAGGTGTACTCTTCTGAGAAAGGTCAAAGGAGCAGACAGATTTCAGAGAGCACTGGAGATTTTTTTTCCCCCATTTGGCATCCTCTTACTACTAAGAACAGTATCACAATTACATAGCTAAGGACTTTTTCTTAAAAGTCACAGCTACCCTGCACTGTTATACAAGTACACCAACTAGCCTAATATTCATGATTGTAGACCAAATTATTACTCTTCTATCAGCACAGCCTCATGGATTGTAAACTGAAGTTTATTGAGATAGAATTTCAAGCAGCCTCCCCCCAAAAGAACCATTTCATAGTGCACATAACTAATTTCCCAAAAAAGCCATCTATAGGTTTTATCCCCCCAAATAGCCAGTAGCTCTGTGTGCAGTTTGTCAAAAGTTTCCTGGAACCTGCTTCTATCACCCAGGCCCTAACCTGTGCCCAGGGCCTCAGGGTGTCACCCTCCCTGACACCTTGTCACACAAATCATGGATATAGGAAGCATCTGAGCTGGCTTGACTTCATTTTGTACTTCATAGGCCATTCCCTTCTCCCAGGGATCTTCCTGACCCAGGGATCAAACCTGGGTCTCCCACATTGCAGGCAGAGTCTTTACCATCTGAGCCAGTTGAGAAGCCCTTTTAGGCAATAAAACAAGTAGAATTTCTAGCTCAATCACCAAACCATACAGCCTCCCACAAATTAACACTTTCCTATCAACATATACCTCATCACTCCCCAACTCGGTTCTTTGGTTACAGTCAGGTCAGTTTCTCAGCACCCTTCATCCAGGCCTGTACCTAACTTGGATGACAATCTGTCAATCCTGAAACAACATTCTACTTTTTCCTCTACATCTACATCCCTTTCTGCCTTCTGTTTAGACTTGCCTCTTCCCAGAAGCAGTCCCTTGTTAATCCTGATCACTCTTACTGCTGGGCTTCCCTGGCGGCTCAGTGGTAATGCATCTGCCTGCCAATGCAGGAGACCTGAGTTCAATCCCTGAGTCAGGAAGATTCCCCAGAAAAGGAAATGGTAACCCACTCCAGTATTCTTGCCTGGGAAATTCCATGGACAGAGGAGCCTGGCAGCTACAGACCACAAGAAAGCAAGAGTTGGGTGCAACTTAGCACCTAAACCACCATCACCTCTGCCACTCTACTGCTGCTTTCCCCGGTTATT